ATATCGGCGGCGGTGGCGGCGGCGGCGCGGGCGGCTCTGGTCTGGGAGTCGCCTGATGGGGGTCGGCCCAAGCTGCGCGACGTCTTTGCCAACAAGGAACTCGACGACGACTGGACCGACGAGGACGAGGAGCCGGCCTACAGCGGCGGGCTGGGCCAGCTCGACTCGCTCAGCGGCAGCGGGTGGCCGTCCGACTACTCGACCATGGCGCGCAACGAGACGCTCAAGGGCTCGCCCTACGCCACGCGCGTCTTCCGCGACGGCCCAGAGATGCACGGTGCTTCGATGGCGATGCCCTCGCGCTTCGGTGGCTCGGTGGGCGGCGGCGGTGGCGGAGGCAGCGGCAGCGGCAGCATGGCCCCCGGCAGCAGCATGCTCGGCTACGGCCGGTACGCTGGCGTGCGCTCCCTCTTCCAGCCGCCGAGCCTGGGCAACGAATTTTCGCCAAAGACGCTCTCGATGACGTTCCACGACGCCGCCACCGCCGCGAGCGGCAGCTCGGCACGAGGGTCGATGGACACGACGGGCGGCGAGAGCGCGACCAGCGACGGCGGCGGCAGTGCCAACGTCGACGGCAGTGCCAGCAAGTCGCCTTCGCTCGCCTCGGCTGCCGGCTCACCGACCGCGGCGATGGTCGCATCCGCATCCGGTTCTGCAGCCGCAGCCGCAGCGACGCCCACGCCAACGCCTGCGCCGGCGCTAGGGCCTGGATCCAGGGTGCGGGCGGGATCGGCGGCGGCGTCCGTGTCGGCCTTTAAGGGCAACCACATCATTGAAGAGGAAGAGGAGGACGAGTAGCGGCTGGCGCAGCGTCGCCGTGCCTCGCCCTCTCTCTCTCTCTCTTTTCCTCTCACCGACGGCACGAAGTCTCGCCGACTAGAGCGGCGATGAATTGTCAGGATCGCGCGATCCGTTCTCCTCGCAGTCGACCTCCCTACCTTGATTCTTCATTGAGCGAGATGCTCCGTATCCTTATCTCTGCTGCCCATGCCCTCTGCCTCCAATCGATACCACGCTCGAAGCGCTCCGCTCGAGGCGCACCGGCACCCTGCTTAAGCCGTCTCTGCCGTGGTCTGACGAGACGAGCCGCGGCGCGAGCGGTCTCATCACGGGAGCCCGACAGCACGTCACAGGCTGGGGATGATCTTGCTGATGTGTTTTGCAGGCGGGACGGGGCCGGGACGGGACGGGAGGTTCGGGACGGGTGACCTGGCGTTTGGGGAATCGTAGATGTACAAGGAGGTCTGGGCGAAAAGAGGGGAAAGGAGATAGCGGGAAGCGAGCGGAAGATGACGAAGCGGGGAGCCGGGGCAGCTCATCGAGCTTCAAAGTGGAGCTGCGCAGCGAGGATCGTCCAAGATCATGGGGCGGATGGCGGTCAGCAAGGAGGAAGCAGGACGAGGCAGGAGCCGAGGAGCGGGGAGGGCGACGAGGGGTGCGATGGCGGTGCTCACCATGCGCTTTGTCCGCTTCTTGTACATGACTCGGTGTCCGCACTCGCGGCATCGGATGGGCTCGCGCGGTCGGATCTCGTTTGTCGCTGCGCAGTCTGTCGGAACGAAGACGGCAAGCGGATCGACGGCGAGTGAGGGACGTGTCAGCGAGCGAGTAGCGGGCCGGAGCGAAACTGGGAGGGATGGGAGGCTTGGCTCACCTGCGCAGATGTACTCCATTGCCGGCGGCTTGGCTGCGAACCCGCCGCCCATGCCTCCGCCCGTCCTTGGTTGGTAGCTCATCGTCGCGGTCGCTTGGCCTTGAAGTTGCGTGGGACGTGGAGGTTGGTGTGGTGCAGAAGCGGATGCGAGGCGAGCGCGGGTGGACGGTGGCGACGGCGACGGCGACGGCGACGGTGTGGGGATGGATGGTTCGACGAAGGAAGGCGCTGCAAAGTGAAGCTGCAAGCGGGTGGCCACAGAGGTGGAGAAAGAGGGCCGCCTCTCTCTCGTTCCGGCTGCGAACATTTTGATTTTTCTGGGCTTTGCCTTTTCGGAGCCGCAGGTGGCCGAGGTGGCCGAGGTGGCCGAGGTGGCCGAGGTGGCCGGCCAGGCAGAGAGAGGGAGGGAGCGGTGTGCATGGGCCCGCCGCCCGCTCGCCGCCTGGCCTGGCCTGGCCTCTGCGCTCGTCAAGCCCGGCGATCGCATCTTCGAGACGACAGCAGTCAGACGGCTGCCCCCGCCTTTCCCCGGCGCGGCCGACGCCCTTTTTCTTCGCTCTTCCATCAGCTCCAGGCTCCATCCCTCCTTGCCTCCCTTCCTCGTCCTCTTGCCTCTTGCCTCTTGGCTTCACCTGCCACCTCCTACCCCCCTTGGTGGTCGCCTCGACCACGGCTGCGTCGCCCACGGCCTCGACATGGGCAGGCTGGAAGGCATCATCATCCTCTCCGCAGATGGCCGCCCCATCGTCCACTCCCACTTTGCCAACGCCGTCGCCGCATACCCGCTCCTTCACACCGACTTTCTAAACACCCTCCTCAGCTCCATTGCTGCCGCAAACGCCCAGCTCAGCTCCGCCGCGTCCACATCCTCGTCCCTCGGCGCAGGCAGTGGCAGCGGCAGCGGCAACGGGGCGGCGGCAAAGCAGCTCCACCCTTCGCGCATCACCTCGGTCAAGGACATCAAGCCTGTCCTCTGGGTGCCCGGCATCCCTTATGCCTCGCATTTGCACGACGATGACGACGAAGAGGACGACGAGGATGTAGAAGACGACGACGACGACGACGACGACGACGACGATAGCGATGGGCAAGGCCAGGCAAGCACCTCGTACGCCTCCAATGGCCACCAGGGCGGGCCACGCGCTCTGACCGGCGGAAGCGACGTCGAGGGCGCCAACATCTGGTCGGACTCGGTAAGACCTGCCGCGCCGACGGCATCGGACTCTGAACCTGGGAGCGTCTCTAGACCGACGCCCGACGCACGAGCCGCAAAGGTCCTCTCGCACGCCAACGAGGCGCTCGCCGAGCAGGGCGCCGCGCTCTGCCACATCCAGAGCGGCAACCTGCGCTTCCTCTGCCCCGTCTCGAGCGAGGTCGACCCGCTCGTCCCGCTCGCCTTTCTCCACGCCTTCGTCGCCATCCTGCAAGAGTACCTCGCCCAGTCCACCGACCCCTCGGCTCTCACCGAGGACCTCATCCGCGACCACTTCGACATCGTCTACCAGCTCTTCGAAGAGATCCTGGACAAGGACGGAAACGTGCTCACCACCGAGGTCAACTCGCTCAAGAGCCTCGTGCTCCCGCCCAGCTGGGTCGACAAGATTGTCAAGGCCGTCGGAGTCAGCGGGTGAGTCGCCTCCTCTCGGCTCGTACCGCACAGCCGAGCAGCAACGACAGCAGCAGCAGCAGCAGCCATCGCGGCGCGAGGGCGGCCAGGCTCGACTCGCATGATGCTTTAATTCACGTTACCCTATTAGCTTAGGCGGCCATTTTTGCGCCGCCACAAGAAGAGACGTATTCATATACACACTGATCCGTCGATCGAGCCCCACCCTCGAGAGCCGCCGTTGCTGCGGGCTGCTGCCGCTTGCTGTCTCGCTGCCCTTTGGCGTCTGGGCTTGGCGTCGACGCGGGGAGCTGTTCGCTGACACCCATCGCGCTCGACTGCACCCGCACCTCTGCAGCCTCGCCTCTGCGGCGCCACCGCCGATGGTCTCGCCGATACCCTGGCGTCGCACGCATACCAAATATACCAACAACGAGTTCTACGTCGACCTCGTCGAGAGCCTCGAGGGCATCGTCGACCGCAGCGGCCGGCCGGTCGCGCTCGACCTCTGGGCCAGCCTGGACTGCAACTCGAAACTCTCCGGCACGCCCGAGCTGACGCTTGCGTTCAACACGCCGACGCTCGTCCAGGACGTCTCGTTCCACCCCTGCGTCCGGTACCGCAAGTGGACCAAGGAGAAAGTGCTCTCCTTTATCCCGCCCGACGGCACGTTCGAGCTGGCGTCGTTCCGCGTCGGTGCACCGCACGCCGTGCCGCTGCCGCCTTCGCGCACGGATGCCCCGCTCCCCAGCATCAGCAGCCCGTGCAACGGCTGGGCCAAGTCGGTCCCGTTCCGCCTCGAGACGTCGTTTGTCCCAGAGGCGCCCACCAAGGGCAGCGGCACCACGACGACGGCATTCAGCATCCAGATCAGCTCGCTGCTGCCGCCAGCCCAGTCGCTCGAGGACGTCGAGGTGACGTTTGGCCTGGGCGCAGGCACGCAGAGCGTCGCAGCCTCGGTCGGATCCGGTACGGCGTCGGCGAACAGCGTCTCTGCCGTCTCGGGCGGCTCCCTCGGGGCGGCCAGAGGCGGCGGAGGCGGAGGAGGCTCGGCGAGCACGACCGAGACGCAGGCGGGCACGTTCATCTTTGACCAGAAGGAAAAGGTGCTGCGGTGGCGGATCCCGCGGGTCGGCAGCGAGAGTCGGCCGCCGCTGCTCAAGGGCTCCTGGCTCAGCTGGTGAGTAGGGTCCACGCGCTCTGGGCGATCCTCGACGGTGTTTGTAGCAGCTACGTGCAGACCGACTGACTCGTTCTCCCCTTCTCTTCTCTCTTCGTGTGACACCCTCGCTGGCCCCCACAGTGACACGCCGCCGCGTCCGACGGCGCTCCAAGTTTCGTTTTCGATACCCGTCCACTCGCTCTCTGGCCTCAAGGTGACGTCGCTCCAGATCCTCAACGAGGCCTACCGCCCATTCAAGGGCGTGCGGAGCATGGCCAAGGGTAGGATCCAGTGGCGCATCTGACGGCGGCGCGCCCTTGGCTTCTCTCTGCCCCCATACCTGCTGCCCCTCCGTTCCCGTGCATCCCTCTCTCTCTCTCTCTTCTCCTTGCATCTGTACAACAACCAACAACCAATCGCATCTATCCTTGCTGTCATGACGCTTCCGACTGGACAGTCGACGGGAGAGTGATCGAGCCGACGTTGCCACGAGCAGCCAACGTTGCCACGAGCTGCCGAGGCCCTGCGGGTATCTCGGCAGGTGGTATGAATGCGGGGCGAGCGTCGCGCGAGGTCGCGCATGGTGGTGGAAACAGGTTGCGTGGGTGGTCGATGCTACTATACAGGGGAGGCGATGGTCGTCGTCGACGTCGTTGTGGATCGAATGCGGCGAAGAGGGGAAGAGGAGACTGGCGGGCCGGCGGATGGGCCGATCCGACGTCACTGGACGATACGAAGGCCCATGCTCCTCGCGCTGCCGGCGATGACCTTGCAGAGCTGCGATCGGGACGGGCGGGGATGGAGGCGGTCAAGCGAGGACGACGCGACATGTCAGGTGAGTATGCGATGAACGACAAGGGCGAGGAAAGGGGGGCGCAAGGACGGACTCACCTGCTCCTCTTCGACGCCCGAGACGTCCTGCATCTTGATCTTGGCAATCTCGTAGATGTGCTTCATGGTCAGCGTGCCCGCTACCTCGGAGCCGGCTTTGCCCGACCCCGTCGAGATGCCCGCCGCACGCTTTAGCAGGAGTGATGTCGGCGGAGCTGCGCGTGTCCAGACGGCCAGAGAGATGGGGGAACGGCGGGTGGTGAGTACCAGGGTCGTTTGCTGGATCAGACACGATGTCATCCCAGCCAGACGTCGGGACTCACTCCTGATCTCAAACGAAAAGGTCCTGTCGGGCTGGATGGTGACGATGGCCGGCGTGGGCAGGCCAGGTTCGAGGTGGGCCGTCTTGGCGTTGAACTCCTTTGCAAAGTCCATGGCCTTGACGCCCTTGGCACCCAGCGCGGGGCCGACGGGCGGCTGCGCAGACGCCTTGCCCGCCGGCACGACGAGCTTGACAATCGACGCCGCGGCCGACATGGCGGCGGCGGCTCCTCCCTTCTTGGACATGTCGTCGTCGGCGGCGGCGGCGGCGCGGGGCGAAGAGGAGAGAAGAGAAGAGAGGGAAAGAAGGAGGGTAGGCTTGGGTGCGAGCGCGCGGTGGAGATGGTCGAGTGGCGATCAGGTAGGTGGTGGTGGTGGTGGTGGTGATTGTGGTGGTGCAGCCGAGCCTGCGCCGGGACCATGCTGACCTCTTGAGAAGAAAACGACAGCCCGCCAACCAGCCCTCAGCCAGCAGCCAGCAGCCAGCAGCGGGCAGCCTGGCAGGCGACCCGACCCTCGCCCGTTGGCCCGTTGGCCCGCCTTGCCTGAGCCTCGAGGCGAGGCATTTTTTTTTTTCTGAGGCGCGCTCTGGGCTTGGCTCGCCTTTGTGGCTTTCTTCTTGCTCCCCTCTGCCTCCTCTCTCTACCACCCCCTACCCCGTCCTTTCCTTACCCCTCCCCATTCCACCCTGTCACACACCTTCCACCCCATCACCACATCCCCACTTCATCTATACCCTCCCTTTGCAGCTCCCGCAGCGTCCCACCTGCCCAGCATGGCAGCCATGACGGAGCCGGCGAGGGTCTACACCGTCTCGGGCGGGTCGGCCGCCACGTCGGGCGCCGGCGGTACATCGGCCAACTCGACCTCGCTGCCCGACATCCTTCGCCGCTCCGGCTCCTCGGTCAAGCGCAAGCGCAGGCGCACCGCCATCGCCAACAACGAGATCCTCTCCCGCATCGAGCTCATCCAGGACTTTGAGTTCCCAGAGGCCAGCAACAAGATCCGCAGCACCCGCGACGGGAACAACATCGTCGCAACAGGCACCTACAAGCCACAGATACGCGTGTGGGAGTGCGAGCAGCTCAGCCTCAAGTTTGAGAGGCACACCGACGCCGAGAACGTCGACTTTCTCGTGAGTGTTGCCCGCGCGCGCAAACGATCCCGCCGTCGTCCCGCCTTTGCTCCGCCGGCTAGCCCCCCCAACCCCCCTCCTCCTCTCGGCATGATGTTCTACACATACAAAAACTTATCTACATTTGCTGCAGGGGCGGACTCGTTCCGTCCCGGAGCGGAGAAAAGCAATCTGACCTCGAAAAGGAGCGCTGGGGGTTGGGGAGCGGCAGAGCCAGCGCCTTGATCGATCGGCACGCCCTGTTGACAGCTTTCGTGGCCTTCCTTTGATCCCCTCCATCGCTCTCCTCGTGCACGCAGATGCTCTCCGACGACTGGACGAAATCGCTCCACCTCCAAGGCGATCGGTCCTTGGAGCTCCAGACGCAGGGCGGCGCCCACGCCCGGGTGCGGCTGCCCCGCTTCGGCCGCGCGCTAGGCTACCACTTTCCCTCGGCCGACGCCATCGTGGGTGCGGCCGGCCGCGAGGTCTACCGCCTCAATCTCGACCAGGGACGCTTCCTCGCCCCCTTTGTGCTCGGCGGGTCCGACGGCGGCAACGGCGGCGCGGAGGTGACGGGTTGCAACGCCGTCGACGTCAACCCGGCGCACGGCCTGCTCTGCTTTGGCACCGAGGGGACCGGCGTCGTCGAGCTGTGGGACCCGAGAGCGCGGCGGCGGGCGGGCGTCTTGAGCGTGGCGACGCCCTCGGTCATGGACGCCGCGTTCATGGTGGCCCGCAGGGCGCTGCCCGGCGTGCTGCCAGACGACAACGAGCAGGCGATCCAGAAGGAGGCCCTCTCCTCGCTCGCCGTCACGGCCATCAGCGGCGCAGAGGACGGCCTCAACCTCGCCGCCGGCACCAACACCGGCCACGTCCTCCTCTACGACCTGCGCATGGAGCGGCCCTACCAGACCAAGGACCAGGGCTTCGGCCTGCCGATCAAGTCGCTCTCGTGGCCCGGCGACAAGGCGTCGTCGCGCGCCGGCGGCGTCGGCCCGCGCACCCGCTCCGAGGCCGAGGGCAAGGTGCTCAGCGCCGACGCCAAGGTGGTCAAGGTGTGGGACAAGGAGACGGGCGACAACCTCGTCTCGGTCACGCCGCCTTCGTCGGCCACCGACATCAACGACATCCACCACTACCCCGGCACCGGCCTGCTGATGGCCGCCGTCGAGGGCACGCAGATGGCCGCCTGGTACGTCCCGGCGCTCGGCCCGGCGCCCAAGTGGTGCAGCTACATCGACAGCCTCACCGACGAGATGGACGGCGTCGAGGGCGGCGGGGCGGGTTCGGGCAAGGGCGTGTACGAGGACTTCAAGTTCCTCGACCGCGCCGAGCTCGAGCGGCTGGGCATGTCGCACCTCGTCGGCACGCAGCTGCTGCGCCCCTATATGCACGGCTATTTCGTCTCGCTCGGCCTGTACGACAAGGCGCGGCTGCTGGCCAACCCGACGGCCTTTTCCGACGCCCGCGAGCGTGCCATCAAGGCCAAGCTCGAGAAGCGCGCCGAGAGCCGCATCCGCGCCGTCAAGAACGCGCCAAAGGTGGGCGACTCGGTGCGCGTCAACCGCGAGCTGGCCGAAAAGGTGGCCAAGGACGCCGCCGTCGAGGCCAGAAAGGCGGCCAGGTCGGGCGGAGAGGCCGAGGCCAAGGCCAAGCCCGGCGCCACCAACCTGCTCGAGGACTCGCGCTTCAGCAAGCTCTTCACCGACCCGGAGTTCCAGGTCGACACGTCGACGCGCGAGTTTGCGCTGCTCAACCCGGGCGCCGCCGACAAGCAGGGGCAGCAGCGCGACGGCCCGCGGAAGCTCACGGCCGTCGAGGACGAGGAGAACGAGAGCGACCGCGAATCGCTCGACCCGGACCAGGAGGACGAGATGAGCGAGAGCGACCACGACAGCGACAGCAGCGACGACGGCGACCTGGGCCAGTTCGACCCGCGCAAGGGCGGCACTGCGGCGCCGCTGCCCAAGTTCGAGCCGGAGCGGCTGGCGTCGCGCAACGGCGCCGCCAAGCCGGAGCGCGGACGGCCGCGCATGGTCGACTCGGACGAGTCCGACATCGGTTCGGACGAGGCCGATGTCGACGTCTCGCGCGCGCGCAAGCCTAGCGGCGGCAAGAAGCGCACGTTCGAGGATCGACTCAAGAGCCGCAGCTCGCGCACCTCGACCTCGCGGCGGGGCGGCGACGACGACGACTTCGACGCGGCGGCGGCGGCGGCGGCGGGCGGCGTCGGCAGCCAGAGCTTCACCTGGACGCCTTCGCGCGACTCGCAAAAGGCGTGGGACGACGAGGCGGCCGAGAAGAAGAATGCCAAGGCGGCCAAGAAGAAAAAGGACGCCGACAGCTTTGGCGCCGGCCTGTCCAAGGGGGGCGGCGACGAGGGTCAGGGCGTCGAGGCCCTCTCGGACGACGCGCGCTTCGGACGCAAGAAGCGGCGTGCGCCCGGCCGCAGCGCCAGCAAGAATGCCATGCGCGGCCAATGAGCTCGTTGGCGACGCTCCTCGCCCTCTCTGTCGTCGTGGTCTGTCTCCCTCGCCCTGCCCGCCTGGCCCGCTTGTATCAGCACCTGCAAACGCATCCACACACTTGTACTATTAGCCATTCGCACCTGTTCCTTGCCCAATCGCACCCTTTGCTCGCTTTCAGGCGGCAGCCAGCATGACCGAGATGATGGCGTCCCAGCGTCGAGGCGCGGAAGAGAGAGAGAGAGAGAGACAGAGACTGAACGGGGTCGGCGCCGCTCAGATCTGACCCGGCCGAGTCTGTCGGGACGCGTGCCTGGCCTGGCGCGCCAGCCAAGGAAATTTGGCGGCGCACTAGGCGCAGCTGGCGAGGCCAGGCGGCGGGGGCTGGGCTGCCTTCCCGAGATGGCCAGACGCTGCCTTGCCAACACTTTGACTCTTCTCCACCACCACTGCCGCCGCCACCGCCACCACCGCTGCCACCGCCGCCACAGCGGCTCTCAGGAATCCTCGCTTTCAGACAGCCGTTCGCTCTTCCCGCTCATCTTGCACGGCCTCGCCCGCTGCGATCTTCACGAGACCAGCCATCCTTCAACCTTCCACCGTTTCCCCCTCTCGACGCTTGCCAGGATGTACAACGGCATCGGCCTCAAGTCGGCGCGAGGCTCAGGCACCAACGGCTACATCCAGCGCAACCTGTCCAACCTCAAACCGCGCGACGACTGGCGCAAGGACCGCGGCGCCACCGACTTCAAGGACGACGTTGGCGGGCGCGCCCGCCACGTGCAGCCGGATGCCGGCATCCTCGACCACGAGCGCAAGCGCAAGGTCGAGGTGCGCTGCATGGAGCTGCAGGACGAGCTAGAGGAAGAGGGCTTGCCCGCAGACGAGGTCGAGGAGCAGGTAGCGGCGCTCAGGCGGACGCTGCAGGATGCGCTCGCCAACCCGGCCTCGTCGTTTGGCGCGGCCACGCACGCCGAGACCAAGTCGCTCCGCCCCTCGGACACCCACGCCCTCCGCATGGCCAAGACGATCGAGGAGGCCAAGATGCAGCGCGCCCTCGGCATCGATGCCGAGTACAAGGAGGGAGACGCATTCGACCGCGAGCTCCAGGAGCGCAAGAAGCTGCAGCGCATCGAAGAGCGGCGCCAGGCCGACGAGGCCAGGAGGCGCGACTGGGAGAGGAAGAAACAGCTCAACCAGGAGAGGCGCGCGTCGCGCTACCAGCCCCGAGCCCCGCGGCCGCCCGGCATCGCGCTCGCCGCAACGCCGCGGCTACGAC